TGAATGAACATGAGCTGATATCAAACTAGCTATTAATGTAGAAATATGTATTGTTACTGGTTTCATTTTCTGCAGTCTTGGTTTACAGAGTTTTTTTCTTTTTAAAAACCATGTAATTATACATTTATATAAAAAAAAAAAAAAAAAAACTCAGAACTCTTGCTAGATCTGTTTAAAAATGTTTATTATGTTAAAATGTGTTGTTTCCACCGCTCAACCTGGATATCATACTATTATTTGTGTCAGCAATGCAGTCACAAAAAGGGCCTATGATGTACAGATTATTGAAGATGTTGATTATATTTTATTTATTAGTGCTGTATATGTTTGTGTGCCTGAAAACTGTCTCTGAGCATTATATTAACTGACCTGGATATTTTCTGTTCCCTATACATGGTATAACCTGCAAACATGCAAGTGCAATAAGATGTAATTGACTTTCTTTACAAACGTTAATTCACCTGATAAATAAATCAGCCTTACTGAAGTCAGAGCTTATTCCAGATGCAATTAAAATATCTGTGAATACTACATCAAATAACGCCATATCAATCATTTTATTGTTTTCTTTTTTTTTTTTTTATTGTTCCATTAGTAATGACTGTAAACCTAAATCGCATGTAAAGAAATTAATAAAATATGTTTATCTACTAGTGTGGCAGTGTGAGTGTGTATGTATATGTACATGTATGTATATATCTTATAAGGTGTTTAAGAATGATTCTATTCTAATATTACAATGTTACATAAATAATAATAATAATAATAATAGTTATTTAGAACTATATATTTTTATATATATACATATATATGTATGTATGAGCAATATCACACGAGTAGCAGTGTGATATGACTGTATTTCGCCACTAGTGGGAGACGTGCGTTGCCGTAGTGCCCCACCAGTGTCAATATACAGCCATATCGCACTGCTTGAACAGTTTGACGGCATTATTGTGTATATAAAAAAAAATCAAACATGGAGAGTCTCAAAAACCCTTTTGTATGAGGAACTACTTTCTTCCACGTTGGATTCGACAGTTAAACAGTTGAGCAAGCATCTTTAAAACTTTACGTCTGTGGTGTCTGCTTTTTGCTGGCTGTATGTGGGTGGAGTAATACACAAAGGGTAAAAAGGGCTGTA